GCCATTGTAGGAGGTGTAGTAGAAGTATATCCTTTTTATAAAAGAAGAAAATGAGGCTGAGAGGTATGAAGTTATTTGCTCATGGTCACATGACCAGTAATTGTCAAAGTAAGATTTGAAAGCATGTCATCTACCTCAAATAATCAACAACTGGTTGAAAACAAATGCTTGCATATTAGGAAAAAATGATGAGGTTATTGTTGCTTTAAGTAAAGATCAGACTCAATAGCCTTTAATGTCCTTTCCATCTCTAAGACTTCATGAATTTATAGTTCTCTCAGTGTCAGGCTATTTATGGTGAGCCACGTAGACATAGGAAGGGTAAGTATCTCTATGAGAGACACTAAACCACTTTAGTTTCAGCTTTAGAAATTGAAAACCCATTAAAGTTCCTAACATGGTATCAGTAACAGGCATCCTATTACGTAAAGCTTATATTTTAGAAGATGGGGGAAATAGCCTTTTCTTTCTGTGATACTTAGAAGTAATGGGGGCAAAAGAGGGAAGCTTGGGCCTGTGACTTCATTTTTTAGGGAATGTGTGGTGAGGAAATGCCTTTTCAATAAGATAGCAAATCCATAAACATCCATAACTTTTTTTTTTCCAAATTCTAGTCTTACAGAATTCCCTAACATGCTCAAGGTCACATAGCTAGTAGGTCAAAGACATGACTTGAACCTGTGTCTATTAGGACTCCAGGGCCAGCTCCCTTTTTACTTCAATATTCTGTCTTTTGTTCCCTGTCTCTAAATATTTGTTTAAAATTCCTGCAGGTTTTCTTATGTTGTGTTCTTGATTCTGGGATATTTTTGTGTTTACGTTCAAGGGATGATATTATGGAGTCTGAAAACTTGCCTAGTTTATATTTTCACAACTGTATTTAAATGTACTTTTTTTTTACTTTTTAAGTTTATATATTTTATGCATTTAAAAATACTTTGTTTCAGGAAGAAACCATAGGCTTCATCAAACTGTTTAAAGGGGTCCATGATACATAAGAGTTCAAAATCCCTGACATAGACCCTCAAGATATTAATCTAGGCCCATAGATTGACAGATGAGGAAACTGAGTTCTAGAGACATTAAGAATCTTTCTCAAGATCACATAGCTAGTATGAGGGAGAGCTCTCCATATCCGACACTCTTCCCATTGCACCATTTTTTTCCAATTGGTTTTCTGAACATAACATCAATATTTGTATACATACAAACATAAATATTTTGTGTGTATATACATATATATACATATATAGAGAGAGTATATATAAAGTATGTATATATGTATGTATATACACACACATACATATATAGTCATATATAAAAATAAATCTATGTATTTTTCATATCTATAGCTAATGATCTCTCTATGTCGCTCTCTCTCTCTCTCTCTCTCTCTCACACACACACACACACACACACACACACACACACCCTTAAATTCAAAAATGCAATAATTGATGAATGAAAATTTGTTAGAGAAATGCTTAGTGCTAGATGTATCACTTCTATCTCCATGTCTATTGATCTATCTCTAGTTATAGATAGGTCTCTTTCTTTCTATCTATCTATCATCTAAAAAAATTAACAATGCATTGTTGAAATCTCTAAACTTGAATCTAAAGTAAAAGTACTTCTAGGTCTAGTAAAAGAAGACATCTCCCCTAGGCCAGGGCAGGGAATATACTATGTCTGTAAGACCAGCATGGAGAAAATTATTCACATAATGCATTACATGAAAGGGCTAGCCATACATCCTCTTATACTCACCCTTTAGACTAAATGTGGCCTTGTCTCTTTTCCTGTTATTTTCCTTTTCCAGGATGCTCTTTATGGTCATTTTAGCCAAATTCCCTGTGTGTAGATATGTTGAAGGGAGTAAGAAAAACAGTTCATTGTATGATTGATCAAGGACATGAACTTCGACCAAGGGATATTGTTAATTAGGGAGTAGTAATCTGAATATACTTTTCTACTTTATGGGAAAAAATGCTTATTTAGTAAAATTTTGCAGTAATGTTTTAATCATCACTAACCCTTCTCTTAATTGCAGTAAATTGTTGGTGGTGCCAGAATCATCTGATTAGAAAAGGGCATGAAGTTTGAAAATATATGGAACGTTGTGAAAATTGCCTTAACTGATTATAGTCTTCAGGGATATAACAACAGCAGTAATAGCTTACATTTCAGTAGCACTTACTGTGTGCCAGGCACTGTGCTAAGCATGTTATAATTATTATCTCATTTGATCCATACAACAACCCTGGACAGTAGATGTTATTATTATCCCTATTTTACAGATGAGAAAACAGAAGCAAAGATTAAATGACTTGCTCAGGGTCACACAGCTAGTAAATGTCTGAGGCCACATTTGAACTCAGGTCTTTCTGACTCCCTGCCCAATACTCTTTCCAATGCATCAGCTAGCTGCGTAGGATGATGAAAACTTATAAAACAGAAAAGCTTATATACTTCTTTGAACTTCTTTCTTCTATATTTTGTACCTATCAGAATGTAACAGTATATTTTATGATTAGACTTTGATCAATTAGTTACACCACATAGGTTAGAACTCAGATTCTTGAAGAGATCAATTTTCATATCTGGAATGCATATATATGCCTATTCATTTCCCCAGGAAGGGTGGTCAGTTGTCATTGATTGTCATTTTCAGCCTTGTACAATTTGGCTCCCACAACAATTCAACAAGTATTTATTTAGTGCAGAAAGCCACCACTAGCAATACAAAACCAAAAAAATAAAATCTTTCTGTCATCCAGGCAAATATATTTTATTTCATGGGCTGGAGGAGGAGGATAATATCATTTTTGTTGTTGTTGAATCATTTCAGTCATGTCTGACTCTGTGACCTCATTTGGGGTTTTCTTGACAAAGATATTGGAGTGGTTTGCCATTTCATTCTCCAGCTCATTTTACATATGAGGAAACTAGGGCAGAAAGGGTTACATGACTTGTCTAGGGTCACATAGCTAGTAAGTGTCTGAGGTTGAATTTGAACTCAGGTCTTCCTGATTACAGGCTTGGTGCTTTATCCATTGTGCCACCTTAGCTGCCCCAATAATCACAATGATAAGCATATAAATAAATATAAGCACATATATGTAGTGAGGGCTGTTCCCCACTTGTGACGTAGGGGTGTTGTTTTGTGACTGAAAGAGAGGCAGAACAGACATCTCTAGCATCTTCTTCCATAGCCCTTCTCCAAAGCAGGCTTTATTTTCTTTCAGGAAGGGAAGCAGGAAGATGGGTCCAGAAGCTTGGCCATTCTGCTGTCTTCAGAGTAAGGGATTACTAGGCTAGAATGATATCTATCTGCTTCTTTAATTATTATTAGTCTAGGCAGGGCTTCTTAAACTTTTTCAACTTGTGACTGCTTTAGCACTTCTTAAATTGTGGGTGACAACCCATATGAGGGAATGTGGTTTTAAGTTTAAACTCACTTTTGATCACTGCTTCATTAATTGGAGGAAGGGACATGATTCAATGCTTTATATCCAAGGCTTGAAGCCCTCTCTTACCAAATCCCAGTTCCATAGTGAAAATACATAGCTGGTAGCAAAGATACCCATTTATCCAAGTCAATAACAAAGCAGAAATCAGAGAAGGCATACACAGGAGACTATATACCAGACAACTGTCTAATAATCATTTTTGCAAATTTTCCATTCAAGCCAAACTAACCTAGTCACTATTTCATCTCCCACCTCCATGATTTTGCACAGACTTGTGCCCCATGCCTACAATGTACTCCTTCTCCTCCACTCCCTAGAATCCCTACATTCCATGAAGTCTCTGATCATGTGACAGCACTTATAAGAAAATTTCTTTACTCCCCTATACCACCCAGTTATTGGTAATCTCTTCCTCTGCTTTAAATGATTATTACCTTTTATTTTTTTTACTTTGTTTTTTTTCATGAGGCAATTGGAGTTGAATGACTTGCCCAGTCACATAGCTAGTGTTATGTGTCTGAGGCTGGATTTGAACTCAGGTACTCCTGACTTCTGGGCTGATACTCTATCCACTGGACCACCTAGCTGCCCCTAAATGATTATTTATAGGCTTTATTATTTACATGGTGTGTCCTTTCTTTCTTTGGACTAAGTAGAATGTAAGGTTCTTGAGGTCAGGGGCTGGTTTTTTATTTGTTTTGGTTTTTTGTTTTTTGTTTTGTTTTGTTTTGCTTGCTTGTTTCTTTTGTTTTCTTGGTGTTGCTTTGTCTTTACACTCTTGATGCTTAGGACGTGTTAGGAGAATGCTTCTTGATTTGAAATGACTTGGATTGGAAAAATTAAGATTTCACCCTTTACCCCCAAGAGAATGCTAAGAAATAGCAATAACTTGATTCTATTAAATAGGTAGATCCAGCATTCTTCACATATAAAAGTCTGTTTCAGTATTTGCAGCATTTGCATTTTAATTATGCAATGAAAGGAGAAACACTGGAGGAATAATTGGTTCTGCTATTAGCCAATTAGAGCTGTAACTAAAAAACCAGAAACCTACTTTGATTGCCACAGAATACTCACAATATCTATTGATCAGATGTTTTATAACATGTGGTGGCAATAAAAAAGATAGAGGGAGGTATCCATTTTCCATGCACCGTATTTGTTAAAATTTAAATTAATGAAAGCAGATTCAGAAAGCCTTACTACAATGTAATTCAGCTTTTACTGTTAACATGTTTTCTAAATTGGAGATACTTGGGGGTGAGCCTAATGATTAAAATTTAATTTAGAAATATGACAGTTTGATAAAGTGACCACATTGTGCATAACTGGTCCCATATGAACAGAGACAGCAAATTGTCCTTTCAGTCCATGTTGTGCCATGGAAAACTATGCTTCTTTTTTCTATAAGAAAGGCTGTCAGAACATATAATTCTAGGATTGCTTATGGGACCTGTCTGGCAAAGGGGGCTTGGATTTTGATGAGATACTGACTATATATTTCTTTCCCCTGTGCATTTTTGTGGACAGATACGACTACATATTCCACTGAACGATCGGAGCACTTTAAGCCGTGCAAAGACAAGGATCTTGCATATTGTCTGAATGAAGGAGAATGCTTTGTGATTGAAACCTTGACGGGGTCACATAAACACTGCCGGTAAGTGAGGGCCATCCACTGACCCACACTATTTTCTGCTCAGTCTATGCAGAGCTGGGGGAAAATGGAATGCAGGACTACAGGAGACAAACACCAAAGCCATCCTGATGGATGAGTTAGAATTGTAAATATGGGAAGCCAAAGTGTCTCAACTTCTCTCATATCTGAGAAGTATAAACTAGAAGTCAAATTGATAAGGCCTAAGTTTGCTGCACTCAGAAAAAACTTATCAGATCAGCTTGAGGTGTTATTCTTACAATACCTATACACATGTATTTAAATGTTACTTACGCATTTAATATCATTCATTATAAGACTCATACATGTTAAAGTATAATGTTCTTATTTATTCCCTGATGTTCAGAAATATTCATTCATAATTAAGCTAGCCTTTTGAGGAAAGATGAAAGATATGATTATACAGTCAGAGCACCAGTTCAGTCAACACTAGCTTCAGCTTCCCTGCATCATCTCCAACAGGCCATAGGCATGTTCTAAGCCTGCTAGGAGGTCTTATGCTTTTGTCTCAGTTCATTCATTCAGTTACAATTTATCTGTTTTTAAAGGACAAGAAAAACATCCCTGCTTGTGGCATACATTCTAGTAAGAATAACATTCCAAATGAACCAACATAGCACTGTGGCAGGCCAGTGACTGAGCTGCAGGGTACAAAGACAATGGTGGGGCTGTGGAAGGTGCTTGTTTATGAGGCCTTCTGAGACACAGGATTACACTCCAACTGCCAATAAACAAGGTCCAAACAGATGTAGATAAATAATGCTCTTATATGCTCTGCAGCTTCATGGCCCAGCACCCTCTTGTAGGAAATCAAATTAGCATCAGAAAAATATATCCTACGGAATTTTTATTTCTAGAACTATACTTATAATTTGTTTTTTCCTTGAATTTTATATGCTTCAGTGATCATTCATATCCATAGCTTTTTCCTTCCCTTTATTTGCTTTTTCTCATGTGAAACAGTTATTAAATTAGTTATTCTGAATCATGGAGCATGGAAAATTGTGATGACTTTTTTTTTCCCTTTCACTATTGTTATTGGTGAAATGTACAGTTCTCCTGCCCCTCCCTCATTGCTTGAATAAATCAACTACAGAACCCTGGAATTACAAGTGCTGGAAATGAGATCCCTCTGTATTTGAATGAAATGGAAGCTTTGGACAAGATTGGGCCAGTTGTTTAAGCCCACAGTGTGGGGTAGTTCTGATATTGTTCTTTAGCATAGATTATAATTTACCTAATTGCTCTGACCTAGCCTTGGGACTCTGGTTTAGCAGAGAGTTACAGCTCTACCTCAGCTTTCAGTGTGACCTTAGCCAAGTCACCTAACATGTAGTTTACTTTTTGACCTCACAAATGAGAAGTTCATAATGGACAAAATACCTCTATTTCTATATGTGCTATTCAGTTCACTTGTTGTTGGCTTCTCTTCGCCTTTTACATCATTACAATAATCCCAGAAGATGTACTATTTTGAATCATGAGCAATTACTGGATGTTTTGTATTTGATATTAAAAGTCTTATGCTGATTCAAAGAACTGTTTACAATATCTTATGCATGTTTAAAAAAAAGTTTGACGAGGAGGTTTTATTTATGTTTTTGGGAAGGCTGGTGCTTCCTTTAAGATAAGATTGCAGCATAGTAATCTCTCTCTGTCTCTCTCTCTCTGTATTGTTTTTCAATCAACACCTCTGAGTACATTGGTATAAGGAAATACCAATGAGGAAACTCCATTAAAGCAAGTTGGCAACTGCTCTGCTACTTCAAGTATTGGGGAGTTTCCTAGGAGACTAATAAGTTAAGTGACTTGCCTAGGGACACACTGCCAGTATGTGTCAGAGGTTGGACTGGAATCCAGATAGTCCTATCTCTAAGATCAATTTTCTATCTGTTACACCACAACTGGCTGTCTCTCTGATCACTTTATAATAGATTAAAAATTATCAATTAGAAATATTTAAGTGGCACAGTGGGTAGAGTGCTGGAACTAGATTTAGGAAGACCTAGTTCAAATCCAGGCTCAGATTTTTACTAATTTTATGACCCTGGGAAAGTAACTGAATTTTGAACTGCCTCTCTTTTTTCCTCTGTAAAATGGGACATAATAAGAGAGAGATGGAGAAAGAGATAGAGAAAGATTCATAAAGAGAAATGGGGAGAAAGGGTGAGAGAGAAAGAAAGAGGAAGATAGGCAGAAAGACACAGAGACAGAGAGAGATACAGAGACAGAGACTTACACACAGAGAGAATATGAACCAAAAGAAAGAAAGTGGAAATTTAGGGGCAGCTACGGGGTGCAGTAGATAGAGCACTGGCTCTGTAGTCAGAAGGACCTGAGTTCAAATGCAGACTCAGACACATAACACTTACTAGCTGTGTGACTCTGGGCAGGTCAGTCACTTAACCTCAAATTGCCTCACCAAAAAAAAAAAAGTAGAAATTTAAATTAACAATGTTGAAAATGGACTATAATATGAGCCAAAAGACTTGGATTCTAGTTCCAGGTGTGTCATTTAATGGCTATGTGATCATCACTTATTCTTTTTAAACACAAATGTGCTTCACTAATGACTTTCTTAACATACTAACAAAAATGTGTCCTGATGTGTGTTTATATAGGAAATTTGGATGAATGCTTACATTTCCTATTTCTGCTTCTTTAAGAAAATGGCAAAAAGTGCAACATACTCAACCCCTTTACATTTTTGTATATCATGGCGCAAACAGTCAATGTTTTAGTACTGAGAAATTTACCACAGCAAGAAGAAATAGACTGTGGGGTGTGTGGAGTGTGTGTGTGTGTGTGTGTGTGTGTGTGTGTGTGTGTGTGTGGCGGGAAGGGGGGGAGCAAACTCATTTAACTAGATTATCCTAGCATTCATCCATCTTTTCCCCCCTTGACTTGAACATCATTATAATTAAAGGAAGAGATCTCCATTCTCTTTTTGAAAAGAGAAAATTATTAGGAAAAACAAGTAGCTAAATTGTTTCATGCTTATCTAGTTGAGGACCACTTACCCCTGTGGTCCTAGTCTCCCCATTAAGCATAATATATAGTAGCCTAGTTCCTGTTAGATAGAAGCTATTATCATTTACTATTATTAGGTTGATGAGCAAGAGCTTTCAATTAAACACTTTCTGATTAAATAATATCCACTCCATTCAGATGTTTTTGTTAATATTCAATTTGTTGCTGTCAAAGTAACTTGTTTCCACATTGACTTCATGCATTTTGAAAGCATGGAATATACTTGGGATTTCACTAATAGGAATAATTCAACCAGGGAAGCAGAAAAACGTATAAGGAAGGGGAAGATGGCTGTTACAGCTTCATGAGTAAAAATGTTCTGAATAAAAACAAGTGTTTCTATGCATAATTAGTTTTCTTGTTTTATTTAGACATGTAGGGACCTTGGAAAAGGGGCATTCCCCAATATCTTAAAAAATCAGAGTGGCCACTGTAATTTAACCGATTGATAGGTATTTGAATAGAACAAAAGGGAACTGGGTACAATTTCAAGTTTAAAATAAAATGTCTCCTTTTTATCACTGCAGTTCAGTTAAGATAGAATCAGTCATGCTGATAAATATCTTTTCTAGTTCTTGGATGGGATAGGGATTATTCTTAGGTTTTACCTTAAATACTGACTTTGGGAATTTGACACTTTTAAAAATGTACTGGATTTTTTCTTTTAAATTTGAGACTACCACTCCCCCTTCCCCCCCCCAAAAAAAAGGTAAAGAGTGTGAACATAGTTAATATGTAAGGAGAGATGTTATGATTGAGTGGATGGTAAAGCCATAGACTATAATGTTGAGGGGCTTAAGATCTTCATGGTTTTTTTCTAGTTCATATTTTTAGTATGAACTTATTTTTAATGTGAACATATTTTAATGTTCATAGTTTAATGAGTAGGCTTTGATATCAAGGATTTTCTTTCACAATGCATTGATATCAGTGAAGGAACACAAATATGCTCTTTCCTAAGTATAATATTATATACCTTTCATCAAGTGCTAGAATTATGTGTGTATAATATATAATATATTCCCCCCCCCCCAGAGGGAGAGAGAAAGAGTAATTTAGAGAAGGGAGTCATTTGAATATAATATTTGGGGAAGACTCAGTGTAGAGGGGAGCAATAGTCTAATTTGTACAGCTCTACCACAAAGGTACCCTATATCCTCCACCACATTTTGTACTAACTATTTTGAAATATATGTTGTACTAGGGGCACTTGCTGTATTCTCTAATTAGTAAATGAGCAGGAGTACCTTTACAGGAAGGGAAGATGACACTAGCTTTATTCTATCTGTGGATGGCAGAAAAGATGTAGGGAGTTGATCTGAGTTGGTCAGGATTCAAAAAGTAGTGGCTGGTGATAAGAGCAGTTCATAAATTAGGCTAGTTAGCTTCACTTCTGAGTGAATCTCTTTGAGATTCATCAGATATTGACTATTAAATAACAATTTCCAGGGGATAAATCTAAACAACTGTTGACAACTTGGAACTCCTTCATGAAAAGAACAATTGGAAATTGAAGATCCTATTTATTAAGCAAGCTAGCAATCACTCTGGAAGATGTGTTAACTTTTGCACATGACAAGGGTTGATTTTTTAAATAGTTCTTCCTAAGTCTTAAGACAGAAAGATTTAGAATTTATTTTTGTTATAAATAAAATTTAACATAAAACAATTATACATCTTCCTGTGTTCTATGGACTGCAATAAAATGATTCTGAAACATCTTGATAGAGATGTTGGCTCTAATGTGGTATAATGTCTATAATATGACACAGAATAATAACAGGATAAAAAAATCTTAAGAGCTATTTCAAGTTCATCACAGATTTTCCAAGGTAAATATTGAAACATTCAACTGATGATATTTGCCACAACCCAAATATAATTTAAGTAATTTGCTATAACTGTGTTCACAAGTCAACAATGTTCATAATAGAAGGTCTACTGATTGCCCT